AGACGGAAGATGACATAAAAAAGATAGAATTTGGGGCTGGGTTTATGGCACAATGGGTTAATAAGCCACAGCTTACAATGCCAGCATCCCATATGAGCACTGGTTGGAGTCCCAGCTACTCTGCTCCTATGCAACTCCCTGCTAATGTGCCTGGGAAGGGATCCCCCGAGTAGTTGGACCCCTGCCACCCACGCGGGAGACCAGGATGGAGTCCCAGGCTCCTGGCGTTGGCCTGGCCCAGCCTTTGTTGTTGCAGCCATTTTGGGGGTGAGCTGGTAGATGGAGGATCTCTCTCTCTCTCTCTGTATCTCTGCCTTTCAAACAAATCAACAAATCTTTAGGAAAAAAGAGTGTGTCCTGAAACTTTACAGTAGAAAATATTGCCAACATTTATCTATTGGTAATCAAAACAAGAATCAAATAATTAGCTACTTCTATCTCATCTGTTTATGTATCTGATGATTAAACAAGTTTTTACATATGATTTTCTCTCTTACTGTACCATTGTCAGTGTACTTCCAAGAAGCTCATGTAAAACTGGGATTAAAAGATAAGTTTGGTAGATGTTTGGTCTACCAGTTAAGATGCCACTTGGGACACCAGTATCCCACGTCGCAAGGCCTGGTTCCAGCACCAGCTCCACTCCTAACTCCAGTTTCCTGCTAATACAGACCCTGGGAGGCACTGGTGATGCCTCAGGACATCTGAGTCCCTAACACCCACATGGGAAACCTGGGCCGAGTTCCCGGATCCCAGTTTCAGCTCAGGCAAAGCTGTTGTGAGCATTTGGGGAGTGAACCAGCAGATGGGAGATACCTGTTTCTGCCTCTTTCTCTTTGTCTCTATCTCTGCTTTTCTAAAAAACAAAGGGGGGGGGGTCTTTTTGGTGCAAAAAAATGAAATCCATGCATAGTTTTTATGTAATACACATTTCCCTGAACTTTGTGGAAACATTCTCATATTTCTAATTCCTTTCTCCTCATCAATCCCAACTAAAGATCTCATTTGGATCTTGTTGAATTAGGAGTACTTGTAGCCAAGTGGAACTTCCGGACATCACAGTATTACATAACCAAATTCCACTTTGAAAATGGAAGGTTTCAAACTTGACCTCTAGGGGCCAGAGCTGTGGCTTAGAGGCTAAGGCCATCACCTGCAGTGCTGGCATCCCATATGGACGCTGGTTCGAGTCCTGGCTGCTCCACTTCCGATCCCGCTCCCTGCTAATGGCCTGGGAAAGCAGAGGAAGATGACCCAAGTGCTTGGGCCCCTGACACCCATGTGGGAGACCTTGAAGAAGCTCCTGGCTCCTGGCTTCGGATAGGTGCAGCTCCGGCTGTTGCAGCCATTTGGGGAGTGAACCAGTGGGTAGACAACCTCTCTCTCTCTGCCTCTGCCTTTCTGTAAATCTGCCTTCTAAATAAATAAATAAACCTTTAAAAAAAAATTGAGCTCTGCCACGGAAACCACTACTGGACTTCACACGGGATTTTTTTCCTCTCTGCATCTGACTCAACCTAGATATACACTCATCACCGCCAACTCTTTTCACAAAGATACATTTTAATTTGATACAGCTGTTTAATATTTTTTAAATAGGGAATGTCCCTTTTTTCTTATTTTCAAATTAGATTTGAAAATTGGTTGGGTTGGGGGCCGGTGCTGTGGCGCAGCGGGTTAAAGCCCTGGCCTGCAGTGGCAGCCCATATGGGCGCCAGTTCAAGTCCTGGCTGCTCCTCTTCCGATCCAGCTCTCTGCTATGGCCTGGGAAAACAGTGGAAGATGGCCCAAGTCCTTGGGCCCCTGCACCCATGTGAGAGACCCGGAGGAGGCTGCTAGCTCCTGGCTTCGGATTGGCGCAGCTCTGGCCATTGCGGCCAATTGAGGAGTGAACCAGCAGATGGAAGGCCTCTCACTCTTAGCTTCTCCTTCTCTCTCTGTGTAACTCTGACTTTCAAATAAACAAATCTTTAAAAAAAATATTTATTTGAAGGTCAGAGTTACAGAGAGAGAGGGAGAGGCACAGATCTTGCATCCACTGATTCACTCTCCAAATGGCCACAACCACCAGGGCTGGGCCATGCAGAAGCCAGGAGCCAGGAGCTTCATCTTGGTCTCCCATATGGGTAACAGGGGTCCAGGTATTTGGGCCATCCTCCACGGCTTTCCCAGGCCATTAGCAGGGAGCTAGATCAGAAGTAGAGCAACCAGGACTCGAACTGGAACCCATGTGGGATGCTAGTGTCGCAGGTGGTGGCTTTACCACTTATGTCAAAATGCCTGCCCCAGCCACATTTTTGATGTATGGAGAGAAAGTACAAGACAAGTCTGATGGTCCCTGTGATGTTAAAAAAATGGTTACAGCGAGAGGAGCTGTGACGGAATTGGGAGGAAAGGTGGTGGTGGTCAGACAATGAAATCTTCCCGATGTGGATTAATTCCTGCTGCTGACAAAATCTGGGTTTGTGGATGTGTGGGGACAGAGACCCAGGAACCACAAAACGAAATCGTTTGATGAGTGGTCTACACTGGCCGCTGGAATCCAGGATAATGGTATGAGTTGGGTTTAGAAGAAGGACGAGAGGTGGTCTCAGTAGGGGGTGACTCGTGGTATGAGCAGAGGCTGTTACAGAAGTCTGGCAGAAGGAGATCAATCAGACCATTGTCAAGGAAGTGGTGCGAGTTACCGTGAAACCTTTCTTTTTTTTTTTTTTTTTTTGACAGGCAGAGTGGACAGTGAGAGAGAGAGACAGAGAGAAAGGTCTTCCTTTGCCGTTGGTTCACCCTCCAATGGCCGCTGCGGCCGGCGCACCACGCTGATCCGATGGCAGGAGCCAGGTGCTTCTCCTGGTCTCCCATGGGGTGCAGGGCCCAAGCACTTGGGCCATCCTCCACTGCACTCCCTGGCCACAGCAGAGAGCTGGCCTGGAAGAGGGGCAACCGGGACAGAATCCGGGGCCCTGACCGGGACTAGAACCCGGTGTGCCGGCGCCGCTAGGTGGAGGATTAGCCTAGTGAGCCGCGGCGCCGGCCGTGAAACCTTTCAAACCTCACTGCTCATTATGTAATCTTGGTGCACAGTAAGGTCCTCGGTGGCCTGATTCACGTGAGGCAGCCATCAAACACTTCTGCGGGGCAGCATTTGGCCCATGGGTTGAGGTGCTGTGTCCCACATCAGAGCGCCTGGGTTGGAGTCCCAACTCTGGCTCCTGACTCAGCTCCCTGCTGAAGCAGACCTGGGAGGCATCGATGATGGCTCTAGAAGTTGGATTCCTGCCATCCATGTGGGAGACCTGGGTTGAGTTCTAGGCTCCTGGCTTCAGCCTGGCCAAGTCCTGGCCCTTTGTGAGCATTCTGGGGACTGAACCAGTGATTGGGAGCTCTGTTGTCTCTCTGTCTGTAAAATCAATAGATCGGGGTGGCACTGTGGTGTAGTAGGATAGTCCTCCGCCTGCGGTGCCCGTGTTCCATGTGGGCGCTGGTTCGGGTCCTGGCTGCTCCACCTCTGATCTGGCTCGTGCTGGTGTACCTGGGAAAGCAGCGGAACATGTTCCAAGTGCTTGGCCATCTGCACCCACATGGGAGACCCGAGGTAGACTCCTGGCTCCTGCCTTTGGATAGATCCAGCTCTGGCCGTTGCAGCCATTTGGGGAGTGAACCAGCAGATGGAAGACCTCTCTCTCTCTCTCTCTCTGTCTCTCTCTCTCTAACTCTGAGTCTCAAATAAATAAATACATCTTCAGAAAAAAAAATAAAATCATTTTTAAAAATATTAGACTTCTTTACCCAAAATTTAGCAACTACTTTCAAAGTAACTTAAGTGAATCCCAACCTTTCTTTGCCTCTCCCAAGTAATTCACAATAACAGTCTCATTTTTTTTCTTCTCTCACATCTTTGAAAAATTCTGCCAGAATCAGATCCTATGCATCTCTGAGCTTTTCTACCCCATCCTTTTATGCTGCCTGTTTTATGCAAACGCACCATTATTGCCACGATTCCAGCTGTCCTACTTCTCAGTTCCACGTGACAGAAAGCTCTGAACCTGGACTTGCTTACTCAGCTCCCGGGGCTGCGGGTGCAGGAAGGTGGGAGGAAGGCTGTGGAGGATTCTCCTGTGGGAAGATGTGACTTTTTCCTGTCGAGTTTACAGGGGAGCCGGATGATTACAGGAACACAGAGGAAAGGCCCGGGCAAAGAAATGCGGCTTCTCTTTTTTTTATCAGCAGAATTGTCATGATTACATTAGATTCCAGAGCATAATTGCATCTTCATGGGAATAAACATTTTCCTGTTAACTTTTCACTTAATGATCTTAGCATTCGTCAGTAGCACTTACCTGAATCATTTCTTTCTTTTTTTCTAAATTTATTTTGATTTATTTGAAAGGCAGAGTTACAGAGGAAGGGAGGGAGAGAGAGAGAGCTTCCATCTGCTGGTTCACTCCCAAATTACATCAATGGCTGGGGCTGTGCCAGGCTGAAGACAGAAGCCCAGAGCTGCTTCTGGGTCTCCCACATGGGTGCAGGGGCCCAAGCACTTGGGCCATCTTCCACTGCTTTCCCAGGTGCATTGGCAGGGAGCTGGATCTGAAGTGGAGCAGCCGGGTCTTGAACCGGCTCTCATACGGGATGCCAACACTGCAGGCAGTGGCTTAACCCACTGAGCCACAGCGCCAGCCCTGAATCATTTATTTCATTAGGAGTTGCAAAATGCTGATTTCTAAATTTCTCTCATTCCTTCTACATGTATTCTCTGTGAGGAATTACCCGTTACCCGCTGGGGCCGTGTTGTTAGCTGCTTCTCTCAGCTGAATTTCCTATGTTCCCAAAGCAGTTTCTCCAGACCACTGTTTCAGTTCCTCTTGCTGTTCTAGTCAGTTCTATTGAATATGCCCCAGTCTCTGTTGTCACTGCAATTCTTTCTATTGTGGCATGTTTACATTTCAAAAGATACGTTACACTTGACACGGAAATTGTAACCTCTGGGTTGGTATTTGTAGGACAAGGGTGAAGCTCTCCTGGCCAAGAACTTTGAGAGGGACATCTTCTACTCTGAAGGACCAAAAGACGGGCAGAAAATCTGGGAAAAATGCCAACAAGATTTGATCCACAAAGAAAAGCAAACACCCGAGCTAGACAGACGTCCGTATCCGTGTGCCTGGGGCGCCGACGCGGGGCAGTTCCAGTACCAGCAGCTGCTGAGCCAGCTGGCCACTCTGCTGAGTGACAGCGTCGGCCCCATAGCAGCCACAGAGGACGCGGTGAAGGAGCGGATACAGGAGATGGGCGCCAACGCGCAGTCCTGGAAATCCGTAAGTGCATCGACAGATCGAGGATTCCAGTCTTTTAACCTGTAGGTGTTGATACTGTCCAACTTGTAGGATCTGTGGCTCTGAGTCGTCATTTTACTATTTTATTATATTACTATAGTCGAAGGAGAGAAGAGGTCGCTCAGTATGACGCATGCCTGTTAGGAGCACAGAGCCCAGGCTGAACCCCAGACTGCCTCTGGCCAGCTGTGTGTACTTCAGCATGATACTTACCCTCTCTGGGCCTAATTTTCATTTGTAGAATGAGGTGGTTCCCATCTCACGGGATTGTGATGGCCAGGATGAAATGGGTTAACACATGATAAATGCTTAGTATGGTTCTAAGCTCAACAAATATTGACTAAAAATAATGGTATGGTGGAAGACAGTGTTTGCATGCTGAGCCAATCAGTCTCAGCACAAGCTTCATTTACTGGGGGAAGCTATCATACTACTGATGCAGCAGGCTTAAGTGGATCCATCCCTTTGTCTGAGTCCAAATCATTTTAGCAAAAGTTCATGACTCCTCATCCTAAAAGTCAAATGATGGGGCCAGCGTTATGCTGCAGCTGCTGCCTGCAGTGCCGGCATCCCATATAGGTGCCAGTTCAAGTCCCAGCTGCTCCACTTCCGATCCAGCTCTCTGCTGTGGCCTGGGAAAGCAGTGGAAGATGGCCCAAGTGCTTGGCCCCTGCACCCACATGGGAAACTCAGACGAAGCTCTTGGCTCCTGGCTTTGGATCGTCCCAGCTCTGGCTGTTTTGGCTATTTGGGGAGTGAACCAGCAGTTGGAAAACCTCTTTCTCTCTCTCTGCCTCTGCCTCTCTGTAATGCCACCTTTCAAATAAATAAATAAATCTTTTTTTTTTTAAAGTCAAATGTGAGAAATTGCTCACATTCCATGTGTTAGTGAAACCTGCTACTATTAAGTCTGTTTGAGTTCCGATGTTTTAATACTGTGCTCTCTTAAAATTCATTGCACAACTTTATTTTCAGAACTAACTATAATGTCTTATTTTTATATATATAAACTTTTACTTTATTTTTTCAACCAACTCTTAGGAGAGTATTCAAAAAAGTTTGTGGAAAAATGAAATTAAGATACATTTATTTGGGTATAAACATTTTTAAAAAAATCTATGTATATTTGTATATGTTTTCTTTCTTTCTATTATTCATTTTTTAAAAAAAATTTGCGAGGCAGAGGGAGATTGAGAGAGAGAGAAAGAGAGAGAGAGGGAGGAGAATGCCAACAATAGCCAGGTTGTACCTGGGGATGAAACTGGGAGCCGGGAATGCAATCTTGTCTCCGACATGGATGCTAGAAATGCAATAATTTGAGCCATCGCTGCTGGTTTCAGGGTTTGCCTTAGCAGGAGAGTCAGAGAGTCAGGATAGAGCTGAGTACTGAACCCAGTAGGCTCATATGCATATAGGAGTCAACTGCTAGGATAAAGTCCTGCCCTTATAATGTGCTTTTTTTTTTTTTTAATTTGACAGGTAGAGTTATAGACAGTGAGAGAGAGAGAGAGACAGGGAGAAAGGTCTTCCTTCCATTGGTTCACTCCCCAAATGGCCTCAATGGTCAGAGCTATGCCGGAGTTGTGCCGATCCAATGGCAGGAGCCAGGTGCTTCTCCTGGTCTCCCATGCGGGTGCAGGGACCCAAGCACCTGGGCCATCCTCCACTGCCTTCCCAGGCCACAGCAGAGAGCTGGACTGGAAGAGGAGCAACACAGGACTAGAACCCAGTGCCCATATGGGATGCCAGCGCCACAGGCGGAGGATTAACCAAGTGAGCCACAGCACCGGCTAATGTGCATTTTTTTTAAAATGAACTTTTGGAAGGTTCCCCCCATCGTGTCAAATTTTCCTAAAAGGCCTTCCCAATTCTCTGCCTAGTAACTTGATGTCACCACAGTGTCCATATACGTAAAACCTGCGCGAACTTGATGTCACCACAGTGTCCATATACGTAAAACCTGCGCGCGAGCGTTTGAAACGACGTAGAAAGCACAGACCCTCAGGAGTCTTGTGCTATGTTTCCTTGCAGAGAACGGAAGACCTGCAGCAGGAGATCCAGTGGCTCACGAAGCAACTGGTGCAGCTGCACCCTCTCGGTGAAGACGCGGCTCAAGAACCATCCCCCAGTGAGGAGAATTACTGGGACCAAAAAAGACCCTTGAGACGCCTGGAAGGAAAAATTGACATCAATGACTTTTTCCAACGGAAATTGGATTTGGACAGGAAGAAAGTAAGCGTTTCCTGAAGTGCAGGCATTTCAGTGAAACACTGTATTTTATTAGTAACTTTAACACTGTTTAACATTTAAAGATGTTAATACTATTTACACGTTTTTTCCCCAAACACAGAACACTTTATTATTCTAGCAATATGTAAAACAAATGTGACTTTAAATGTTCATAACCCCATTATGCATCGTGATTGGCAGTGTCATTCAGCTCACTCAATTCTTGAAACTTACTGACCTTTTTTCATAAAACAGGATCAAAACATATTGCACTTCTCTTAATAATGGAAAAAGGAGGAAACTTTGCAATGAACTTTTTTTTTTTTTTTTTTTTTGACAGGCAGAGTGGACAGTGAGAGAGAGAGACAGAGAGAAAGGTCTTCCTTTGCCGTTGGTTCACCCTCCAATGGCCGCCGCGGCTGGCGCACTGCGGCCGGCACACCACGCTGATCCGAAGGCAGGAGCCAGGTGCTTCTCCTGGTCTCCCATGGGGTGCAGGGCCCAAGCACCTGGGCCATCCTCCACTGCACTCCCTGGCCACAGCAGAGAGCTGGCCTGGAAGAGGGGCAACCGGGACAGAATCTGGCGCCCCAACCGGGACTAGAACCCGGTGTGCCGGCACCGCAAGGCAGAGGATTAGCCTCGTGAGCCGCGGCGACGGCTGCAATGAACTCTTAAAGCTTCCGATGTTACAAAAAGCTTCTTCCATACCTCTACTCCTCTGTTGTGCATATATGTAACGCTTTAAAGATTCATCTATTTGTTTATTTGAAAGTTAGGGTGAGAGAGAGAGTCTTCCATCTGCTGGTTCCCTTCCCAGGAAGGGATGGGCGTACTGACGTCAGAGCCGGGAGCTCCATCTGGTCTCCGACGTGGGCGGCAGGGGCCCAGACACTCAGGCCGTCTTTCGTTGCCTTGTCCGGCACATTAGCAGGAGGCTCGGCTCTGCTGCAGGCTGCTGGCTTACCTGCTGCGCCGCATCAGCCCCGACAGAAATCTTAGTGCACTTTTAGAAGAGGCCTAGCAGGAAAGGCTGGCCAAGGAATGCTCCCTAACGTGGGGTTTCCGGCACGGTGACAGCTGCACTGATGGGTAGTAGTGACGCCTTTGGTGGTATCCCCCACTAATTACTCCACGGACCCTTAGTTTCTCTACCACCTGTTTGCCTGTGTCTGCAGCGGAGAATGCAATCCTAAAAGCGGGGTGGAAATATGTAGGTTGCAAGGTAATTTATTTTCCCTTGAATTACCTGTCAATCCCAAGCCTGTGCTCCGCGGTTTTTGTAACGGCTGTGGGTCACTCGCTCACTGACCATCCACTCACCCAGGCTTTCAGCCGTTCCCTCACCCAGTGCGCAGTGAGAACCCAGGCTCTGGAAATTTCTTGCACTCAGTGAAGTGAGGGTAGCAATGCACTCCACAAAAGAAGGGGCCATCAAAGGAGGTACGTTTCTCTAACGGGAGGAGAGAACTTCCACCTTACTATGGCCTTGTCCAAATACTGACGGAGTTTGTGGATTCAAAAGGCTCCCATAGCCTAGACAGCTCATGGCAAGAGCCTTGGGTGGTCACTGATGTCATACATGAGAGTGTTAATTAACAACAGGAGTCACTGTGCACTAACACCCCATGCAGGACCTCTGTCCTCAGTAGTTGTATTATGAGATTTTTTTTTTAAATTATTATTTGTTTTAAAGACAGAGTTAGAGAAGTAGAGACAGAGAGAGATCCGCTGGTTCACTCTCCAGATGGCTGCAAAGGCCAGAGCTGTACCAATCCAAAGCCAGGAGCCAGGAGCTTCTTCCAGGTCTCCTACGCAGGTGCAGGGGCCCAAGGACTTGGGACATCTTCTACTGCTTTCCCAGGCTACAGCAGAGAGCTGAATCAGAAGAGGAGCAGCCGGGACTAGACCTGGTGCCCATATAGGATGCCAGCACTGCAGCCCAGGGCATTAACCTGCTGTGCCACAGCGCTGGCCCCCACTTAGTCTTAATATTTGAGAGTCCTTCAGATAGTTTGTGAGTGGGGTGGGTGTCGTGGCACAGCTGATTAAACTGCTGCTTGCTACACTAGCATCCTGTATTGGAGTGCAGGTTCAAGTCTACCCAGCTGCTGCTTCTGATCCAGCTTCCTGTTGATGCACCGGTGAAACCAGTGGGGGATGGCCCAGGCACTTGAGTCCCTGCCACCCATGTAGGAGACTGGGATGGAGTTACAGGTTCCTGGCTCCTCAGCCTAGCCAAGCCCTGGCTGTTGTCTTTAGGGAGTGAACCAGCAGATAGAAGACCTCCCCCACCCCCCGGCCTTTCAAACAAATAAATCTTTATTTTTTTATTTTTTTATTTTTTTATTTTGACAGGCAGAGTGCACAGTGAGAGACAGAGACAGAGAGAAAGGTCTTCCTTTAAAAAAGATTGTGGAAAATGGAATTAAAAGACAAGTTAATTTTGGTACCAAAAATTTGAAACACATGCATGGTTTTTGCATAACACATTTTCCACAAACTGTTTTCAAGACCCTTCATATATATCGTATCTTATTAAAAGTACACTCCACTTTCTCATTTCCTTTTAAGTTAACATACTTTTTCATCTTTTTTAAAAGATTTATTTATTTATTTGAAAGTGAGAGTTACAGAGAGAGGGAGATACAGAGAGAGAGAGAGAGAGAGAGAGACAGAGAGAAATCTTCCACCTACTGGTTCACTCCCCAGATGGCCACAATGGTCAGGATTGGGCCAATGCCAGGAACCACAAACTTCATCCAGGTCTACCATGTGGATAGAAGGGGCCCAAGCACTTGGGTCATCTTCTGCTGCTTTTCCTAGATCATTAGCAGGGAACTGGATTGGAATTGGTGCCCTTATGGGATGTTGGTGTCATAGGCAGCAGCTTTACCTGCTATGCCCCAATGCCAGCCCCTGTCTGTTTTAAATTATAAAAGTGGGGGGGGGGGTCAGCGCTATGGCGTAGTGGGTAAAGCCACCAAGTGCAGTGTCAGCATCCCTTATGGCTGCCGGTTCAAGACGTGGCTGCTCCACTTCCGATTCAGCTCTCTGCTGTGGCCTGAGAAAGCTGTGGAAGATGGCCCAGGTCCTTCGGCCCCTGCACCTGTGTGGGAGATGCGGAAGTAGCTACTGGCTCCTGGCTTTGGATCGGCGCAGTTCTGGCCATTGTGGCCAACTGGGGAGTGAACCAGTGGATGGAAGATCTCTCTGTGTGTCTCTCTTTCTCTCTATATATAACTTTTTCAAATAAAAAAATTAATTAAAAAAAATTATAAAAAGGGCCGGCACTGTGGTGTAATAGATAAAAGCTACCACCTACACCGCCCACATCCCACATGGGTGCCGGTTTGAGTCCTGGCTGCTTCACTTCTGATCCAGCTCCCTGCTAATGCACCAAGTACTTGGTTCCCTGCATGCATGTGGGTGACCCAGAGGAAGCTCTTGGCTCCTGGCTTCTGATTGGCCCAGCTCCAGTCATTGTGACCATTTGGGGAACGAACCAACAGATGGAAGGTCTCTCTCTCTTTGTCTCTCTCTCTCTAACCTGCCTTTCAAATAAATAAAATAAATCTTTAAAAAATTATAAAAGTACTATGGTTATTAAATAGTTTTCTGCAACTAGCTTCTTTTTTTTTAAGATTTACTTATTTATTTGAAAGGCAGAGTTACAGAGATGCACAGGTAGAGCGCGAGAGAGATCTTTCATCCAATGGTTCACTCTCCAGATGACTACAATGGCTGGAGCTGCGCTGATCCTAAGTCAGGAGCCAGGAGCTTCTTCCAGGTCTCCAATGTGGGTGCAGGGGCCCAAGGACTTGAGCCATCTTCTACTGCTTTCCCAGGCCACAGCAGAGAGCTGGATCAGAAGTGGAGCAGCCGGGACTAGAACTGGCATCCATATGGGATGGTGGCACTGCAGGCAGTGGCTTTACCTGCTACAC